CTTGGGGGCCTCTTGGGCCGTCTTGGAGACCTCTTGGGGGCCTCTTGGGCCGTCTTGTGCCATGTCCGAGCCGTCGTCATAGCCGTCTTGGGCCATCTTAGGGTATTCCTGGCCCGTCTGACGCCGTCGGAAGCCGCCTTGGGGGCCCCAAGAGGGCCGATTGGGGGCCCTCTTCGGGTGCTCCAGGGCAGTCTTGGAGGCCACCTTGAGCGTCTTGGGGGCCTCTTGGGCGATCTTGGGGCCCTCTTGGGGCCGTCTTGGGGGCCTCTTGGGCCGTTCTGGGGCCAACATCGTCATTGTTCGAGGATGTCTCGCGCGAAACGTTCACTATTATCATAAAGGGTCTTGGGCTGGGATCCCTAAGATCGCGATTGCTTGAGGATGTTCCGAGCGAAACGGCCGATGTTGGAAACGTTGGTGGCGAAGCGGGCGGGTCATTTTGGGTTGTCGGCGGGACGGGCCGAAGCCCTAGGGGGGTTCTTTTGGAAAAAGCAAAACCTAACCCTACAGGGTTCATCACGCCGGACACCCCTGTGGCAAGGGCTTACGGAGAATCACCGCCGCCCCCTGCCTTTTGGAATCGCCCATGTGGCGGAGCGTTGTGGAAAGAGCTATGCGACGCTGTCGGGCCATGTGTTCCCCCAGCCGTTGTAGAAGACCTTCCGGGAACACTTGGTGGAGGATGGCGGGGAAGATCAGGAGGAGGAGTAGGAGGAGGAGGAGGAGGAGGAGAATGAGGAGGACGAGGAGGGGGCATCTTGGGAGCCTCTGGGGGCACTCTTGGGGCCTCCTGAGAGCTTCTTGGGAGCCTCTTGGAGACAACATGGGGGTCTCCGTGGGCCTCTGTGAGGCCTTTGAGGGCTTCTCGGGGGCGTCTTTGGCCGTCTTAGGGCATTCCTGGCCCGTCTGACGCCGTCGGAAGCCGTCTTAGGGGGCCTCTCTGGGCCGATTTGGGGCCCTCTTGGAGTGTTCCAGGGCCGTCTTGGAGGCCATCTTTTGGGCGTCTTGGGGGCCTCTTGGGCCATCGTGGGGCCCCCTTGGGGCCGTCTTGGGGCCGTCTTGGGGGCCTCTTGGGCCGTCTCGGGCCGTCGGAAGATAGGAAAGAAGCAAATGCTAAAATCCTTCAAAAACCTAAGGCACATCAATGAGTTTGGCCTCATCGGGCCTTCCTGGAGGCCCTCTTGGGGGCCTCTTGGGCCGTCTTGGAGACCTCTTGGGGCATCTTGGGCCGTCTTGTGCCATGTCCGAGCCGTCGTCATAGCCGTCTTGGGTCATCTTAGGGTATTCCTGGCCCGTCTGACGCCGTCGGAAGCCGCCTTGGGGGCCCTCTTCGGGTGCTCCAGGGCAGTCTTGGAGGCCAGCTTGGGCGTCTTGGGGGCCTCTTGGGCGATCTTGGGGCCCTCTTGGGGCCGTCTTGGGGCCGTCTTAGAGGCCTCTTGGGCCGGTCTGGGGCCATCTTGGAGGCCTCTTGGGCGATCTTGGGGCGATCTTTGGGGGCTCGTGGGTCGTCTCGGGGCCCTCTTGGGGCCGTCTTGGGGGCTTCCTGGGCCGTTCTGAGACAATCTTGGGGTGGTCGTTGGGAGCTATTGGACCGTCCTGGGCTGTCGGAAGACAGAACAAAACAAATACCAGCATCGTTGAACAACAACAATGGAAATCAACAATTTTGGCCTCGTGGGGGCCTCTTGGGTCGTCGTGGAGACCTCTTGAGGGCCTCTTGGAGCCCTCTTGGGCAGTCTTGGGTCATCCTCGAGCCATATTGGGCAGTCTTTGATGGCCTCCTGGCCCGTCTGACGCCGTCGGATGCCGTTTTGAGGGCCTCTCTGGGCCAACGTGGAGGCCCCTTGGGCCGTCTTGGGGCCCTCTTGGAGCCTTTCTGGGGCCATATTGGATGCCTCTTGGGTTATCGTGGGGCGATCTTTGGGGACGATCTTGGGCCGTCTCGGGCCGTCGGAAGGCCGAAAAGAAGCAAATGCCCAAATCTTCGAAACACCATAGAAATGAATGATTTTGGCCTCTTCGGGCCTTCTTGCAGGCCCTCTTGGGGACTTTGGGCTGTCTCCGAGACCTCTTCGGAGCCATCTTGGGCCATCTTGGTGGCCTCCTGGCCCGTCTGACGCCGTCGGAATCCGTCTTGAGAGCCTCTCTGAATCGACTTGGGGGGGCCCTTTGCGGCGCTTCAGGGCCGTCTTGGAAGCCATTTTGGGCGTCTTGGAGGCCTCCCTCTAGGGCCGTTCTGGGGCCATCTTGGAGGCCTCATGAGCGATCTTGGGGCGATCGTTGGGAGCTCTTGGGCCGTCTCGGACATTCGGAAGGCCGAAAAGGAGTAAACCCCAAACTCATTGCAAAACCTTGGGAAAGAAAGGAGTGTGAGCTCTTCGGGCCTTCCTGGAGGCCTGGAGGCCCTCTTGGGAGCCGCTTGGGCCGTCTTGGAAGCCTCTTTGGAGCCGCTTGAGCCGCCTTGGGTCATCTTGAGGCCATCTGGGGCCGTCTTGGGTGCAGCTTGGGCAGTCTTGGAGGCGCCTTGGAGCCATCTGAGCCGTCTTGGAGGTCATGCTGGCCATCTTGGCGGCATCTTGGAGGCCATCTTGGACCATCTTGGCCGTCTTGAAAGCCATCTCGAGCCGTCATGGGAGAATGTGTTTGAGAATTCTGCAAATTGCTTTCCTTGCCAGTGGACTGGAGGGACGGGGGGAAGCCCCAGGGAGAGTTCTTGTGGAAAAGAACCAAGACCAAACCGTCTAGCGTCCAGCACGCCCAGCATCCATGTGGCAAGACCACAGGGGGCGGCGGATTGAAGACGCCAACGGCGAATCACCGCCGCCCCCTGCCCTTGTGGAAGCGACTATGTGGCCGACAACTGGGCTACAGCTTGGCCAAGCTGTCGGGCCAGTTGTTCCCCGAGTCGGTTTGGAAAGCATTCGGGGATCCGCGTGGGGGAGCAAGAGGAGGACGATCAGGAGAGGGAGGAGGATGATGATTAGGAGGAGGATGAGGACGAGGATGAGGATGATAATGAGGATGAGGATGAGGATGGTGGAGGAGGAGGAGGAGGAGGAGGAGGAAACGGAGGAGTAGGAGGAGGAGACTTCTTGGGAACCTCTTGGGAGGCCTCTCGGGAGGCCTCTTGGAAGGCCGCTTAGGAGGCCCCTGCGGAGCTTCCCGGGAGCCTTTTGGAGGCCCCTCGGGAGCATCCCTGGGCCTCTGAGGGGCCTCTTTGGGGCTGTTTGGGGTGCCTCTTTGGTCGTCTTAGGGCGTTCCCGACCCGCCTGACGCCGTCGGAAGCCATCTTGGGGGCCTCTCTGAACCGACTTGGGGCCCTCTTGGTGCGCTTCAGGGCCGTCTTGGAGACCATCGTGGGCGTCTTGAAGGCCTCTTGGGCCCTCTTGGGGCTCTTCGGGGGGCGGCTTGGGGGCCTCTTGGGCCGTCATGGGACCATCTTGGAGGCCTCTTGGGCGTTCTTGGGGCGATCTTGGGGACTCCTGGAGGACCTCTTGGAGGCCTTTTGGGCCGTCTTGGAGGCCTATTGGGTGCATCTTGAGCCGTCTTGGAAGGATCTTGGAGTCATCTTAGCCGTCTTGAAGGCCACCTTGGAGGCCATCTTGGGCCATCTTGGCCGTCTTGGAGACCATCTTGAGCCGTTTTGGGAGGTCATTGAGAGACTTGGGCGCCTGTCGGGTGGCCGGCGGGACGGGCCGAAGCCCCACGGGGAGCTCTTTTGGAAAGGAACCAAAACCAAATCGTAAGAAGTCCAGCGCGCCGGGCATCCCTGCGATAAGTCAGCAGAACAGGAGGCGGCGGATCCTTGTTTTGTGGGTTAGAGGCCTCTTGGATGTTCGTTTGGATATCGTGGGAGGCCTCCAGGGGCCTCTTGGAGGCAATTTTGAAGCCTCTTGGGGTCCAGTTGGAGACTCTTGAGGCCTCTTTTTGGGCCTCTTGGGAACCTCGTGGAGCCTCTAGGGGGCCTCTTAGGCTTTCTTTGGGACCTCTTGTGGCCTCCTGGGGGCCTCTTCGGGCGGAAGGCTCAAATTGTCCGTTCGTGTTCCCCCGCTTGAGCCCCTCTTGGGGCCGTCTTGGGGCCCTCTTGGGCGATCTTGGGCTCCTCTTTGGCCGTTTCGGTGCCCTCTTTGGCCGTTTTGGGGTCCCCTTCGGGGCCTCTTGGGCCGTCTTGGGGTGGTCTTGGAGGCCTCTGGGGCCATTCTAGAGCGTCGGAAGCCCGAAAACGCGAGAACGCGGAAAACATCGCAAAGCACAAGGACAAGCAATGATTTGTACCTCTTTGGGCCCTCTTGGGGGTCCTCTTGGAGCTTAGGGCCTCTTTGGGGCCTCTTGGGCTGTCTTGGGGCCGTCTTGGGGCCACCTTGGGCGTCTTGGAGCGCTCTTAGGCTGTCTTGGACGCGTTTTTGTTGACCCTCCTGGGCGCTTTCTGGGGCCCTCTTGGCCCATCTTGGGGCCCTCTGGCCGACGGGAAAGTCATGCGCGGCAGCCCGAGGACGCGCGGGAACGCCCAGGAAATTTGAGAATTTAGGGGACCCTGGGCATTGGAGAAAACTCCACCCGCAGCTTAGAAGGTCCGATCTCCTCCACGAGCAGCATCAGCGAAACGTGGGGCCTGATGGTCGTCAGCTGGATTAGCGCGCAAGTCGTTGCCACACTCCGAGTTGTCGTCTAGATAATCTAGGCCTAGCAAGTCGGTAAGGTCTTCCAACTTTTCAAACATTGAATGGAGCTCTGGGTCAGGATGCCCAACAGCTTGGTCTTCATACCTTGGGCCCCATGCTCTCAGGAAGAGAGGCATCACTCACTGGGCAAGCCCTTTGCAGAACTTGGGCAGGCAATGGCCGAGCGCGATTCTGCACAATCGGGGCCACAGGAAATCACAGGGAGCTCGCCGTGTGAGACTGGCTGCGCGTCCGCGGCGGCTCTTCCTGGGCCTTGGCGCTTCCCCACATCCCCCCTCTCCCCTCTCCGGCCCTGCCCCGCCGCCCGGCCGCCTACAGACGATCATCAACGGCGCAGTCCTGCTGAAGAACGAGGGCGGGACGCTCCCCATCGCCAAGGGAGCGGCGAAGATCGCGCTCCTGGGCAAGTGCGCGGAAGGCGAGACCGGCGCACGGCGAGCCGAATGCTGGCATCCCACCTGTCCTCGCTCCTGCGTGCGCACGTCCGCGTGCCTTGCCCTCTGGAGGGTGGACGCCCCCGCCAGCACGGCGGGGCGCGACTCGAAGGGCGGACCAAGACGGCGCCCGCGAGGGGTCCGCGGAGGAGCGTGGGATGGCGCGCGGGGCCGCACTCCCGCCGTGGCGCAGGAGGGTGACGTGGGATTGCGCGTGGGGCCCCCCCAGGCACATTGTGACCGCCTGGCCCCGCCTGCGGCGCATCCAGGGAGCACCCGTCAGCCCCCGGGTGAGGCTTGAAGGGATCCGTAGAGCCTCCGGGCGATCGTAGGCGAGGAGGAATGATCGAGGTATGGAGGAGGAGGAGGAGGAGGAGGAGGAGGAGGAGGAGGAGGAGGAGGAGGAGGAGAGGAGAAGAGGAGGAGGAGAGGAGGAGGAGGAGGAGGAGGAGGAGGAGGAGTGGGGATGGGAGGAGGAGGAGGAGGAGGAGAAGGAGGAGGAGGAGGAGGAGGAGGAGGAGGAGGGGGAGAAGGAGGAGGAGGACCCCCACCCGGGAGGTTTAGAAGGCGGTCTTCTTTCGACTACACGTGAGAGTGGTTCTTCGCCACAGTGACCGTTGGTGCGGCCCTACAGGGGGTCCCCCCCGGCCTAGGCCTGCGCTCTGAAATGTCGCCCCCCCCCCCCCCCGCGGCCCCCGAAAGGCGCGAAGGTCAGCATCTTTGATCTGGTACCCATCCCCATCCCCACTTGGCCATGGTATCCCAGCCCCGCCAGACGACCGACCCCCCGAGACGGGGGATAGGCCCCGCGAAACCCGAAGGGGACAGCATGTATGATCCGGGGGTGCCCCTCCTGTGGTCGTGGCCCTGTGGGCGTGGCGTGGTGGAGGGTGCCGGTGCACCCCCCTCCCTCCCCCTGTGGGTGTGGCTTGGCTCGTCGTCGTCGTCGTCGTCGCCGCCGCCGCCGTCGTCCGTCGTCCGTCGTCCGTCGTCCGTCGTCCGTCGTCCGTCGTCGTCGTCGCCGCCGTCCGTCGTCCGAAGTCCATCGTCCGTCGTCCGTGGGCGTCGGCGTCGGCGTCGGCTGCCCCCATCCCATCTGGAGGGGAGGGGCTGTGGAACCCTGGGACCCATCCCATCTGGAGGGGTGGGCCGTGATCCCTTCGCCCGGGATCAGATATGCCCCTCTGGGGCGGAAAATGGGTCAGTGGGGCCAGGGCCACGGAACGTGAGGACGGGGACAGAGCAAGTGATGCTCAAGAGGTCACTGAGGCCACTCCTGCGCGCAGCCGCTTTCTCGTGAGCTCTCGCAAGGGCCGCAGGCCTGCGGCGGGAGGGCAGGCCCATGGCGGCCCTTGCGTTGCTTTGCACTGCTCTGGCAGGTGCTGTGGCGCCCTGCGCTGCACTGCTTCGTGCCGGCTTGCATCGCGCTGCCGCTCAGCACAGAGTTGCAATGCTTCGCGCTGCTTGTCATCTCTCTGTGCTTCGTGATTGCGATGGTGATTGCGATTGGAACGGTCACGGCCATCGCCATCGCCAGCAGTCCCGGGCCACTAGCTCCGCGCCGCAGGCACCACGAAGGACAAGTCGAGCCGGCTGCTCATGCACACGAAGCTCACCTCCCTCCAGGAGTGGGTGGGCCGCTGGCCGCATGGCGGTGTTGGGGAGGGAGGGTGGAGAAGGGAGGCGGGGTGACGAGGAGGGAAGAGGGAGGGGGGACGAGGGGAGGATTTGGGGAGTCTGCGGTCTGTGTGGTGCTCTGGGAGGCCTTCTCGTGGCCATGGCTGGACGCGGCTCAGAAAACCTGACAGGATGGACCCTGCAGGGCTGAGTCGATGTCGAGTCCTCGGAGCTCGATCCGATGCGGTTTCGACTTCCCCGTGATCGGATGCGGCCCGATGCCTGCACAGTGCGGTTATGCGCATCCTGGCGCAGCCGGTTCGATCTCGAGTACGATTCCGAGCCAATGCCAGAAATGGGGCACGGAGACACGCGAGAAAGGGAGAGAGTGAGATAAAGAGAGAGAGATAAGCAAAAAAGAAAAAACATGAAAAGGATAGATCGCGCGCGCGCTCGCTCGCACCACACATGCGCACGCATGGGTCCATATATTTATGCATGCTGGGAGAGGAAACGCAGGGAGGGAGATGGGAAGCAAGAGAGAGAGAGAGGGAGTGCGAGTAAGCAAGAGAGCGAAACCGGAGAAAAAGGTGACCCTTTGCGAGACACAGTGTTGCATACCGGTTGCTCAAGACAAGAGGTGTAAACATGATTGGCTTAAGACCGGCGGGACGGAGAGAGAGAGAGAGAGATAAAAAGAGAGAGAGAGAGAGAGCGTTGTAGGCAGACCGAGCGGACGTCTCCTCCCTCCCCTTCAGCCCAAGTCCTCTCCTTCCTTTCCCTCCCAGATTGGGCTAGAGGAGAGGCAGAGCCCACAGGCAGAGGGATGTGAAGATGACAACCGTTGCGTACAAACATATTCACACACGCATATATATATCTATATATATATATATATGCACAAGCAGAGCAAGATGGCCCCAACGAGGTGGGATTCGATGGATCGATGTTGTGATCTTGCCTGGCCCCAGGACGCACTGAATGAGGCCGTGGACGGCCAGGGCACCCAGGCGGGAGCCGCCTCCACTCTTTCGCCTCCTCTTGCTCGCGCTCCTGCTCCTCATCGGCTGTGCCATCCGCGTCCCCTCCGCCAGTTCCTCTGCCGCGGCGACCTGCGGCCGTGCCGCCTCTCTCGCGAAGCCCCTGCCTGCGGCTGGGGATGGGCGCTGGCCTGGCCAGGTTCGGTTTCGCCTCTGTTTGTTGCGCCCTCTCCTTTCGCCTCCGCCTCCCCTCTCCGAAAATTGCGTTGAACATAAAACAAAAAACAAAAAAAGGGTTCGGTTTCGCCGCCGACGCTCTGGCACAGCGCACCGAGATGGCAGCCTTCAGGCGCTCAACGCGCTTGGAGGATGAGGAGTTTCGGGCGTGAGCCCCCCCCCCACCCCGCCGTTCTTCGGGCCTGCTGGCCTCCGAGTGACGGCCTCACCTGATGCAGAGGGTGCAGGAAAGGCGCAGAGCACTGTGCCGTGGATTGGTAGCGGGCGCAGAAGGGATCCTTCCCGTCCTCTCTGCCACAAGCACCACCCCCTGCGCCTGCAGAGCACATCGCCGCAGGGCGCCGTCGGGAAAGAGCCTGGCCTTTCGCCTCCTTCCGCTCCTCCCCCTCCCTCTCGATCGTCAGCTGCGATCCTCATCGGTTCTCCCTTCTCCACTTTTGTTCCCTCTCGATCCTCCTCGATCCTCCTCCCACCTCGTCGTCGTCGTCATCCTTCCCCTCCTGATCCTTCTTCCTCCCCTTCCCCCTCCTCCTCCTCCTCCTCCTCCTCCTCCTCCTCCTCCTCCTCCTCCTCCTCCTCCTCCTCCTCCTCCTCCTCCTCCTCCTCCTCCTCCCCCCCCCCTCCCCCTCCTCCTCCTCCTCCTCCCCCTCCTCCCCTCCTCTCTCCTCCTCCTCCTCCTCCTCCTCTCCTCCTCCTCCTCCTCCTCCTCCTCCTCCTCCTCCTCCTCCTCCTCCTCCTCCCATTTTGGCTCAAGCGGACGCACGGCCTCGCCCGCGCGCGCCCCCCCCTGCGGCGTGGCGCCTCGCGGGATGCCGAGGCCTAGAGGGGCTTCCGAGGCCCCTGGCGGCGCCGACCTCGTCGAGGCCGCCGTCAGGGCCGCGGTCCTGGCAGGAGCGCCGCGGCGGACGGTCGCCGCCGTCGCCCGCTCGGCCATCTCCGCCGCGCTGTACGCGCGCGGAGAGAGGCCGACGGAGGCGGCCGCCGGCCCGCCTGCTGCTGCTCCCCCTGCTGACGATGAAGTACGTGGACGCGCTGCTGGCGCCGCCGAGGCCGCTGGTGCGGCAAAGGCGGCTCGGCGGCAGCGTCGCCGCCAGCGCCTGGCGGCGGCGCGCTTGGCTGCGGGTGGCGGTCCTGGAGCTGCGGGCGGGGCAGTCGTGCCCGTGCGCGCGGCGGAGGGCGCTCCTGCGGCGGCCCGCGACGACGACGAGATGGAGGTGCTCGACGACGAGTGGGCGGACGGCGCGCGGCGCCCTGCCCCTCGGAGGCGGCGCCTCCGCCGCACCGACACGCTGGCGGAGGCGCCTGGCGGCGCTGGAGCTGGCGTGATGGCGGCGGAGCCTGCTCGTGCAGCTGGCGGAGCCGCCGCGGCGGATGTGGAGGCGGAGGCTGCAGCGGCCGGCGGAGCCGCCGCCGCCGTCCCCTCCGGCGTGGGCGAGCGGGCTGCCATGCTCGCGCAGATCGCTGCGTCTGGCATGTTCGGCCCGACCCAGCTGCCCGCCGTGGAGTCCCTCGAGATCGACAAGCTGCGCCACCTCGTGTCGTCGCTGCCGAAATGAGAGGGGCTGGCCGCCTGGGCCCCACGGTCACCTATGGTTGGGCCGCTGCTTGCATGCCCCTGGTGCTGGGTGGTCCCAGGTAGGCCCTTCCCCGTCAGCTGGCACCACGGGTGAGCCTCTCACGGACGCTCGGTTGGTGTGCAGGCTGGCGGGGCCGTTCGTCGTCTTCTACGTCGGCGAGCTCTATATGCCCCGCCGTTGCGGGGGCTGGGCGGGCGCCCGAACCGCGTCGCGCGGCGTGCTCTTCTTCTTCTTCTTCTTCTTCTTCCTCCTCCTCCTCCTCCTCCTCTCCCTTCCTCCCCCCTCCTCCTCCCGCCCTGCTCCTCGGCCCTGCTCCCCCTCCTCCCCCCCTTTCCTGACAGGGGGGGGGGGGGCCAGCTGCACCACGGAAGGGGGGTCACCGCCCAGGCGCCCAGGGCCGCCCCTTTCGCTGCGGCCGCCCCGATTCGATCCCGATTACGGCCGGCCCAGCCCGATTCGATTCCGACGTTCTTTTGCCTAGACGTAAGAGTGACCTTTCGCCGGAGTGACCTTTGGCGCGGGCCCAGTGGGATCCCACGATCGCCGAACGCGATGCGATAGTAGCGTCTTGCGCGCCCGCGTTTGGCCCCCCGCTGCCCCCAAAAAGCCGCGCACCAAAGGTCACTCTTACTTAGGGTCACTCCTGCGTGTAGCCGAGTTCTTTCGACCCGATTTGGCCCGACGTTTGAATTTCGTTGTTGTGTGTCCTGGGTCGGCCGATCCGGCTCGACTCCGACCCCGTGCCGATGCGGCTCGATCCGGCCTCACTGCACTCCGATGCGATTCCGTTTCCCGATGCGATGCTGGTTGATCTTGTTGTTTGGCCGCCGCCCTGGAGGTGGCCTCCAGCGGCGACGCCGCCGAGGCGAAGGGGGCCTCCGTCGCAGTGGTCCCGAGGGGCGCCGCCGCTGCCATCGCCCTCGCCCAGTGGTGTCGTCGGTGCCAGTTCAGGGAAAAGGGCGAGGGGTGGAGAGGGAGATGGGAGTGAACAGGAGGAGGAGGACGAGGACGAGGAGGAGGAGGAGGAGGAAGAAACGGGGGGGGTGAGGGGAGGAGGAAGGAGGAGGAAACGGAGGAGGAGGAGGACGAGGGGGAGGAGGAGGAGGAGGAGGAGGAGGAGGAGGAGGAGGAGGAGGAGGAGGAGGAGGAGGGAGGAGGGAGAGGGAGCGGAGAGGGAACGGAGAGGGCGGGTAAGAGAAGGAGGAGAAGGGCAAGAGTTGGTTCGCGAGGGAAGAGGATGAGGAAGTGGAGGGATTGGAGGCGGAGGAGGAGGAGGACAGGAACGACGACGACGACAAAGATTAGGAGAAGGTCGGCGCGTGTACGTCTTTCATTGTTCTGGGGCCTCGAGGGGGGGGCTCGTCACCAC